ATTGGGCGGATTTGTGTGGACGGAACGGTGTTAAGTACGGAGGAGGAGGTGCGTAGAGGGATCGTTGCTTTCTACCAAAGGCTCTACTTTGAGCCTTTACGTTGGAGGCCACGGCTCGATGGCCTTCATTTTGACTCTATATTAGCTGTGGATAGGGATGGGTTGGAGAGTCCTTTTGCAGAGCAAGAGGTTTTGAAGGCTTTAAAGAGTTGTAATGGTGACAAAGCTCCAGGTCCGGATGGTTTCACAATGAGGTTTTTATTGGAGAGCTGGGAGGTGGTGAGACAGGAGGTTATGGGCACTTTTAATGAGTTCCATTCTAATGGGATGTTTGAAAAGTCACTGAATGCATCTTTTATTGCTCTAATTCCTAAGAAGGGTGGTGCTTTTAACGTTAAGGATTTTAGACCAATAAGTCTGATTGGGTGTATCTATAAGCTTATTGCTAAAGACCTTGCGTTAAGATTGAGGGAGGTTCTGGACGGAGTCATCTTTGAATCTCAAAATGCGTTCATTGGGCATACAGATCCTGGATTCCGCTCTCATTGCCAGTGAAAGTGTGGATTATAGGCTCAGTAGCGGTGTTCCTGGAGTTTTGTGTAAGCTTGATATTGAGAAAGCCTATGATCATGTCTGGTGGAATTTTTTGTATTCGAAGAGAGATGGAGGAGATGGATCGAGGCGTGCGTTTCCTCTGTGAGATTTTCTGTGTTGGTGACTGGGTCTCCATCTAGGTTTTTTGGCAGTTCTCGTGGTTTGAGGCAAGGGGATCCATTCTCCCCCTTCCTGTTCATTATTGTTATGGAGGCTCTTAGTAGGTTGATGAGAAGGCTTGTGGATTTGGGATTTATCAGGGTTTCAGGATGGGTCCAGATTTAGTTCAACAGTTGGAGATCTCTCACTTGCTTTTCGCGGATGACACTCTGGTTTTCTGTGAGGCAGATGTGTCCCAATTAAGATATTTGAGATGTGTCCTGGTTTGCTTTCAGGCAGTCTCAGGTTTGAAAGTCAACGTGGGTAAGAGTGTGCTTGTTCCTGTGGGAGAGGTTTAGGAGGTGGCTTTTCTTGCAGCGGTTTTAGGGTGTGGGACGAGCTCCTTCCCTATTTTTACTTGGGCTTGCCGTTGGGTGATTCGTAGGATGGGAAGTTGGGACCTGGTGATAGAGTGTTTCGGGCGCGCGGGGGGGGGGGGGGGGTTGAAGAGTACATTGTACAGTCTTCCAACTTATTTTCTTTCGCTTTTCCAGATCCCCTCCTCTATTGTTGGAAGACTTGAGATGCTTCAATGGAACTTCCTTTGGGGCGGCATGGGGGAGGAGTTTAAATTTCATCTTGTCCGGTGGGAGCAGGTCTGAAGGCCCTTTAAGTTAGGCGGTCTTGGGATTAGGAGGTTGACCCCTTTCAACACAATGCTCCAAGGCAAGTGGTAATAGAGATTCGGTCGCGAAAGACATGGGTTATGGAGGAAGGTTATTTCATGTTGCTTTGGGGAGGAGAGAGGGGAATGGTCATCTAGGTTGGTTAGATTTGCTGTCGGTGTCGGGGTGTGGAAATCCATTGGGAAGGGATGGGATGAGTTCTCTAAGCATATTAGATTAAGAGTTCGGGAGGGAAGGGACGCCCGGTTTTGGGAGGATACTTGGTGCGAGGATCGCCCATTGTATTGTTTGTTCCCAAGGTTGTTCAGGATTGCTGTTGATAGACATGTTTTGGTAGCTGACTGTTATCGACTCGATAGCAGTAAGTTGTCTTGGGATGTGCGGTTCCGGCAATCCTTTCAGGATTGGGAGTTTGACGACGTGACTGGTTTGGACCTTTCTTATAGACAGGAGGTGGATGGATTGGTACTAGTTCGGATTCCTTGACTTGGGTGCCTTCTTCGCAGGGGACTTTTCAAGTCTGTTCCTTTTTTCTTCGCCTCTTCGGGTTTCACGGTTCCATTTTTGGCATTCAAATGCTTCTCTTAGGGTGGCCTTTTTTGTTTGGACTGTAGCTTTGGGCAAAATTTTGACTCTGGTTGAGAAACAGAAGACAAATTATAGTCAACCGGTGTGTGTGTAAGAATGATGGGGAGTCTGTGGATCACCTTCTTTTGCATTGTCCCGTGGCTCATGACTGTTGGAGTCTTATTTTGGGTTTGTTCGGCTTCCAATGGGTTATGCCCCGGACTTCAAGGGATTTGATTAACGTGTGGAGGGGCCCCGGTGGGGGGGGGGGGGGGGGGGGGGGGGTTGTTCATCCTCGTGACTACTAGAGGGCTTTGTGTTTGGTGGAGTCTTTGGAAAGAGCGGAATAAAAGATCTTTTGATGGGGATGAATCCTCCATTGGAGTGTTGAAGTTTTCTATTATTTGTTCTCTTTTTAGTTGGGTTATGGGGAGAAATTGTATATCTTTAGATGAAATCGTTGACTTTTTGGGTTCTTTGGGTCCATAGGACTCCCTTTTTGGTTTCGGTATTTGTATGGCTCTTGGGACGCGTTCCCCTTTTGAACGCTTTCTAATACAATTTTACTTATGCATACAGATAACATGTTGTATCTGTTGCATCTTTTTGTATAATATAGGAGTGGCAGTGATAATATGATTTATATGTTATAAATTATATATATATTTTTTGATAAGTATGGTTTTATAAAAGGCGCTCAACAGGGGAGCGTTCCCAAAGAAGAAACAGCTGACCAAAATCCACTCTATAGCTTTAAGCTATCCACAAAATCCAAAAGACTATTCATAGAATGTTATAAATTTTATATTACAGTCTAAAATATTAATTTACTTATTTAGTGTCTAAATTTTAAAGATTTACCATGTCAATGTCTCATATTTTCTTCTGTGCTTCTTAACCTGAAAGTAACACTTTGGACCCTTTACCACTCTAGAAGACTTCTGGTCCAATTGAAAGCGTCGTAGCAGTTGCATGAATACTAGTTTTATAGTTTGTTGAATTTTAGTATTTCAGGGCGTATTTTTGTCATTGGGGTGTCTTCTTCTTCCTCCTCCTCTTCTTCTTCCTATTCTTGATATCAGTTGGAGTATCAAAAAGCAGGAGTCATTATTTGGTGTGATGGTAAAAGTGTAAGTAAGTGTAAAATCTTAGCTTTGAGTCTCAGAATTGTCACTTTGTGCAACTTTAAAACAAATGTTAGGTTTATCTCCAATCTTCCCCTCATAGCACCCTGCACACTAGATATTGCAAATTAGTTGGAATATTGAAAGAGGAAATATGAGGAATCTTGATATTTGATTTTTTTTGTTTTTTGGGTGGTGGTAGGTTGATATAATTGAAGAAATTAAGGCACGGGCTTAAAATTTAGTTGTATGTGCAACTAAATTCAACTAAGGGTCGCGTTCCCCTTTTGAACGCCTTTTATTCATTTATTACTTATCAAAAAAAAAAAAAAAAAAAAAATTTAGTTGCATGTGGTATTGAGTTTAGGTGTTGTTTTAGGTCATTAAAGGACTATTGGTTCTTATTTTCATGAAGAATTATTCGAGTCCTATATAAAATTTAGAAAGTTTTCTTCTTTAAAAATTTCTTATGTTGAGAAGTTCAAACTCTTTAAGCTTCTAAAATTTGAAAAGATTTCTTAAGTTTGTAGTTTGATTCCACCTGGGAGTGTTACCTCTACATATGTTTATGAATCTTCCTTTTTATTTATTTTTTATTTTTTATTTTTATAATTGAGTCACATTTGATTATCGTAGGGGATGGTATTGTTGTAAGGAGTTTTCTAATTGTCAGTTTCCATACAAGTTTTGTAGTCCTTTTGGTTCTTTGTCTTACTTGGTTATTTAGCTTGCTTTCTTTTCTGCAGTGAAAATTTTCATCTATTTCTTCTCTTTTCACTTCTCTTCATTGCTGGCCAGAAAACTTAGCAAGCTGTTTTGTGGAAGAACAATACTTCATAGTTATCAAAGCTCATATTTTCTAAGCAAAATTCTAAGAATGCTATATGATCATCTTATCTTCACAACCCAAACTCCTATTTATTATTATTATTTTTTGATAAGTCAAACTCCTATTTAATTTGAACCTTGGGCCATTAAAAAAGTGATTGTAGACAGCATTATGTTAAAATCTTAAATGCTTCCGTATATCACTGTCATTTTGCCTGTAATCAGTTTCCACAACTTCGTGGAAAATCCTCAAAGTCACTACCATGAAAGAGACATCATCATAATTGTTACGACAAACGCCACGAACCAATTGCCAATCTAGAATCAAGCAGAAAAATAAACACGCCACACACAAAGAACACAAAGATTTATGTGGTTTGGTGTAAGCCTACGTTCATAGTGAAGATTTAGCGAAAGATTTCACTATGTGAAAATTGGGAGATTATAAGTTTCTGCCCCCAAACCCTAGCGCTCTGTCTCTCTTTCCTGCAGTTTTCAGTGTTCTCTTGTAACACACACCAAACCCTAACCGCTCTTTTATATTGGGCTACAAGAGAATTCTAGAACCAGGTCTATGACCCGCAAGAGAAAAACGGGTCATAAATTTTTTCCCCAGGGCACTGCCCCCGGACCCCTATGGCTTCGGTGGGGAATGTGCACAAAGACCATTTTTCGGGTCAATATAAAATTCGGGCCACAACTTCACAATATTCTTTGACTTGGTACATCATAATATGCTTAATTTTGGGTTGGGAAAGGTTCATCTGCAATGCTACGAACCACTGCAGGATTACGTTGATGTTTCTTCCTTTTCCACTCCGAATCTTTTGCTGCCTTGGCAATTTAACTATGCTCCATTTTATTTATTTTTAGCATACTCATATTTTAGCATCTCAAGAGATGGTTCTCTTCTTTTCATCTCAACCATCTAGTCTGTATCCATTGTCTAAGAGTCTGCTTCCTTAAGTTTACTGTTATAGACCTTGTATGCTCTTTTTATTTAAGCTATGGAGAATGGATTTGTACAATTTATTTTTGGTGTTTAAGAAAGTTTTGCATTTTTAGTCTTGCTGGTTTTTTAAAGGTCATTAGTTCTCTGCAGAATTTTCTCTCCAGAGGCAGCTTGTGAGGTCATAGAAGCAGACAGGCATTCTCATGTTTTTTACGAGGCAGAACCAGATATCTGGATGGTGATGGTGCGTTATCTGTCTATTCTGAATTATATTGCTGATGAGTTACTGTACTGACTAGTTTGATTTAATAGGTATTGTTGAATAGTCACTAGTTATATGTTCATCCACAGAGAGATTATTTTTTAACCTTCCTCCTTTGGTTTGGATATCCTTTTCTTTTTATATGTTTAGACCTGGCCTCCAGAATGGCATTATCGTTGTCTTACTGAACTCGCCTCATACTCCTTGCTTCCTTTATATTTCTTTGTAGGTGTATAATCTTACACAGAAAGTAAGATGCCTTGGGAACTACACATGTATACTCATTCACAGAGCATACCGAACTTACACATGCATACATCCACTGTGTGTACAAGGACATGTCTTTTCACATGATACTTCCTTCAAAAGGCAGTATGTATGAGGACATATGTCTTTTCACTTCTGCCCATTCATGTGGTTCAACCACTTGACATATTCTCTAGTACCCATGTGCCTCTGAGAGATCAACTCATGTCAGTTGAAGAATATCTTCCTATTCACTCTGGGGATATGGCATCCGTGTTCGACATATATCAGCTCAATGCCTTTTTTATGTTGTTCCACTTTTACATTTTCATTAATGAGAAAATATATCAAGGTCAATTTGTAGATTAAGTATGTATATTGTCATTTGTCAATTGTTTTGGGTACTGGGTTTGATTAGTGCTTTACCCTGTTGTAGGTAGTGGAAAAAAGTAAGGATTCAGAAGCTATGTGGCGGATTGATGCACTACGAAGAGTTCTCAAGGAAGTACATTCTCTTTTTGTGATGTTTCATGGATCTATGAGAGCGTTGCTTGATAAAGAACCCGGTGGAGGACTTGTTCGCTCTCACTTGTTTTCTTTTGTTATGGATTATTTAAGTGGTAAGACATCGTTTAATCACATTCCATTCAAGATTACTTGAAATCACCATTTCTGTTTTCTGTAGTTTAAATATTTCATTGTAAGTCGCTAATTGTCAGCATTTCAAAAGCGGTCTCCATTGGATTTGTGCTGCTGGGGTAATGCTGCAGTTGCTGTATCAAATAATTTCCATTGGATTTGTGCTTCTGGAGCAATGCTGAAGTTGCTGTTTCTCACACCTTACAATAACTTTTCTCTTTGAGGCAGATTTTCTTGTTGGGAAGAAACTTCATTTACCAAATTTCCGTGACTCTTTAAAGGAGCGTGGAACTGTACAGATGTTGACTGTGGGCCGGGAGGCTGCAATTGAAGTTCAGGTTTGTCTTTAGGAAGTCTCTAGCATATTCCAATTGAGTCGTGAAATACCTAGCTTCTCCACTTTTTGTCAAGAATAAATCTTATTAAATCTTCAGGGATGTTAGTGTAAAAATTTCCTCCTTAAAACTGATGGAACTTTCATTTTTGCCACGTTGTGACTTCACTTTTATTGGAGTTTACTGGTGATTCGGATGCTTCTCTTCGCTTGAAATTCGTTGAGATCACCCAGATCATCAATGTCTAGCTGAATGTCTCATGTTTTTGTGTGGGATATGTGTTGGGACTGACGGGGCATCCCTTTTGCAATTACTGGTAGTCTGATACTGTGATCAATTCTGCATTTTAGTTGATATATGTTCGCAACTGGGTCAGTATGTGCCTGTGGGTAGCGGGCACTGATTAACACTTCTTACTTTGTATGGTATGATAGTTTACATCAGCGTCACCAGAATTTGGACTAGTTTGAACTTTTGAACTATTCTGCCATTCCGTTCCTTCTAGGCTGAGGTGATGTACAAAATTGAAGCATCAGTGTTTAATATTAAAGCGTTGGTGTTTAATCTTCTTGTTGCCTCCCCAACCAACTTTTACTGCATTCGGGCAAAAAGTGATACCATTAGTATAAGCATTTAACTTTAGTTGCTTCTTCAATTTGTTTGTCGTGTTGCCAAGTTGTGATTTTTTATTATTTTTAAATCTGTAAATAGCTTTAGTTACTTCTTTTTAGTCTTAAATCCATAAATCCTTAAATGCTTTGTAAAAAACAAAGTGCTATGTCGACGTTGCTTATTTCTTGCAAGGTATGAACTATATCATTGTGGTCAAAAAAAAAAAAAAAAAAAAAACAGAGAAGTAATAGAGCCACCATTTTTCTGATCACTGAGCTCTTATTTATTTGTTTATTATTATTTATCATTGAGCTCTTTTTCTGTGGAACGACAAAAATATTAATGATACATTTAGCTCTTTCTGATCATCGAGCTCTCATTTACAAGTAAAACACATACTTTTTTAATGAATCAAGGGATGAAGGGGATCTTCTTTATGGTACTTATAATAAATTTTATTGTGTTTCAATATTATTTTTTCATACTTGTGTTATAAAATGATACAACACATTAAGTTTTCAACTTTCTTATCCAGCTTTAAGGATTTTGAATCAACCACTTATACGCACTCGCTCCCATGATCTGAATGATTGACAGGCTTTTATATGTATTTATCTATATATTATTTCAGTTGAGTCCATTCATATGAAATTAAGGCAAGGATGATGATGATTTGAGAAATATAATTTGTTTTTCTATTTAAAGTATTTTTTAAAATGTTAAATGTGCATATTTGATTGATTACATCTGGTTTTGGCAGTCACTCGTTCGAGTATTAGAGTCATCTGCTGGGAACTCATCATGCCACTCAATGATCTTGTTCCAGGACCTTTTGGTGTCCACAACGCTTTCTCCTGTATGGTTCAATCTCTATTGCCTCTACAATTTTTTTAATTCTTTCCTGAAAGGGTATTTATATTCTATTGTGCCTACCCATCTTGATGGGTTTCTTTATACATCACTATCACCATACACCATTTCTAGGTTACCTGAAAGTTGAGTGGATGCCTAGATCCAAATGGTATTTTATTGATAGAGTTCTGTATGGTCCAATGCAAAGGGTATTTATTGTATTAGCAGCTAATTTTCTCACTTTTTGTCAGGATGACACTATTAATTTGTTTACATATGCCATCCTAAGGTTGACTCCACGTGCTCTAACCTCTGGGGTAAGTTGGTCCTACTTACGCAAAGGAAATACATCATCTCATGCTGCCACTGGGTCTATATTGGCAAATTCTGGTTCAGTTTTGGATAATTTGTATAATTCAAGTGATATCTCTCCTGGTGGAGATTGCAATTATCATGTGGTTAGGCCCTTAAAGCATGACAAGTGGTCCAAAGGGAAGGATGGTTTTCTTGTCACTGATATATGGAATGAAGAAGCTGGTAGTTTGCCTCCTAGCACCACAACCATTTGGCTTCAGCAAACAGAGGAGAAAATGTATCTCTGTGCTTATCAGCATAGAAACCTCACCTTAATACTTCTCATTCCTGTCACTTCCATTCTTAGTGGGGAGCAAGTGGTATCAATTGTGAAGCAGCATGTTATTGAAAATGTTAGTCTCCTATCTTTTGGTTATTATATCTCTACTGTTGAGCTTTTGTATGCATGTTTGTTGTTGCAATAATCATTTTGTCTAATCAAGTATTTTCTTATATCAAGATAGATTTTACAATTTTTTCCCCTGCCTAAATCCTTCAACCTAAACTATAATAGTATGTTCTGTTTGGCCTCTGTGTTACAACTGGTATCTGTGTGAACACGCGCATGTGTGCTCGTTTTTGTATGTATTTTTATGTGTGTATTACACATATATGGTACCCGCTATCAAAGAAGGTCATTTTAGTGATATTTTAGTGCATCTCAATATATGTCTTTGACATGTTGGCACTTGCAAGAAAAATTTGCCCATTTTTAACCTTAATTACTTAACATATGATGTGATGCACTTTTGCAAACTTCATTAGGGGAGTGGTCGTATCCCTTGTGTTGGGCACCATTTATCAGTTTATTATTTTGACACCAACGGGCAGTGGCCTAGCAGTATCAGACCCTTACTTCCCAAAGGGAGGTTAGCGGTTTAAGCCTTAGTGGAGGCATGTGAGAAAAAAAAAAAAAAAGTTTATTATTTTGACCACAAACTTGGTTTTCTTAGACGAAATTAATAGTGATTGATTGGGCTTAATTAGTAAACGGAGACAAAAAAAAAAAAGAAAAAAAAAAGGAGAATAAAGATGGAAAGTGAGTTGAGTGGTGTCTGTTGAAGACTATTTATGTTCATATTCATTGGAACATATACAAAGACAGAAGTGGCAATCAAGGGTACACGTTTTTGTATGTATTTTTATGTGTGTATTACACATATATGGTACACGGCTACCAAACAAGGTCATTTTAGTGATATTTTAGTGCATCTCAATATATTGTCTTTGACATGTTGGCACTTGCTAGGAAAATTTTACCCATTTTTAACCTTTATTACTTAACATATGATGTGATGCACTTTTGCAAACTTCATTAGGGGAGTGGTTGTGTCCCTTGTGTTAAGCACCATTTATCAGTTTATTATTTGACCACAAACCTTGGTTTTCTTAGACGGAATTTATAGTGATTGATTGGGCTTAATCTATAAACGGAGACAAAAAAAAAAAAGGAGAATAAAGATGGAAAGTGAGTTGAGTGGTGTCTGTTGAAGACTATGTATGTTCATAATCATTGGAACATATACAAGGACAGAAGTGGCAATCAAGGGTACATATTGTAACTACTAATAGAATGAATTTACTAATGATGGAGTGTATTTTTGTAATTTTTAGCTTGTTTACGTGATCTCTAGTTGTGGTCCATGGGTTATGCATTAGAACAAGTTATAGGGTTTTATTTGAAAATTTTAGGTCTAAATAGGTTTATTTAGTCAATGTTTCAGTTTCTAAATATTAAATCCAAATCCTATAGATTTAGGAATACCTAAAAGTTATATGTTGTTACATAATGCCTTCAACTCAATAGAGAGATCGGTTTGGTGAATCTTTTGAATCTTCTGAAGCTCATTCATTGTTGTATAATGTAATTTTCATTTTAGGTGGGATGCCCAAGGGATCCTAGGAGTGATCGCTAATATATATATATATATATATATATATATATATATATATATATAATTTATTTATTAATTTTTAATTTTTCTTTCTATTTCCTACTCCTTTTAAGCGTTAAAACCTCCACAAACAGACATCATGTTTGTTTAGAGCTAAGGACTATGTTTTCACCAAGTGGGGAATCCTGTGTCTAAACCAACAAATTAGTTGCCAGATTACTTGCTTATTGATCATGTCAGTTGGAGCTTTCTGTTGTATCTGCTTGGGAGTTTTGGAGAGAGATGGAGGAGGTGGATTGAGGCTTGTATTACCTCAGTTAGAATCTCTGTTCTTGAGAATGGATCTCCTACGGGTTTCTTTGGTAGCTCTCGGGGTTTGAGACAGGGCGATCCTCTATCTCAGTTTTTATTCCTTATTATTATGGAGGCTTTTAGTAGGTGGTTGTGAAGGGCAGTGGATCTGGGTTTTATCAGGGGCTTTAGGGTCGGTAGAGACTAGGGACATCAGATGGAGATCTCTCATTTACTGTTTGCGGATGATACCTTGGTTTTCAGTGATGCTGATGTGTCCCAGTTGAGATATTTGAGGTGTGTCCTGGTTTGTTTTCATGCAATTTTTGGTTTGAAAATTAATGTAGGAAAGAGCATGCTTGTCCCTGTAGAGGAGGTTCAGGACACCGCATCTCTTGCTGTAGTTCTTGGGTGTGGGGTGGGCTCTTTTCCTATCTCCTATTTGATTTTGCCGTCGGGTGTTCCATCAAGGAGGGTGGGAGGTTGGGATCCTGTGATTGAGCGATTCGAAAGGAGACTGGCTCGCTGGAAGAAGCAGTATCTTTCGAAGGGTGGGAAGGTTAACTCTTTTGAAGAGTACGTTGTCGAGCCTCCCTACATACTTTCTCTCCCTTTTTCAGGTTCCCATCTCGGTAGTTGAAAGCATTGATAGACTTTAACGGAACTTCTTTTGGGGTGGACGGGGGGAGGAGTTCAAGTATCATCTTGTTCGTTAGGCAAGAGTGCAGGCCAATTCTGTTGGGAGGTCTGGGCATTAGGAGGTTGGCCCTTTTCAACAAGGCTCTTTTGGGAAAGTGGTTGTGGAGATTCGGAAGTGAGCGCCATCGTCTTTGTGGGAAGGTGGCTGTGTGCCGCTACGGGGAGGAGAGAGGCGGTTGGTCCTTTGATCAGGTCAGATTTGCTGCAGGTGTGAGTGTTTGGAAATTCATTCGTAAGGGATGGGATGAATTTTCTAAGTATATTAGATTCAGAGTATGAGATGGCAGGGGAGTTCGGTTGTGGGAGGATTTATGGTTTGGTAATTGCCCGTTGGCTCGTTCCTTTCCCAGACTTTTCCGGGATGCCGTGGATAGACATGCTTTGGTGGCCGACTGATATCGGTTCGATAACAGTAGGCTCGCGTGGGATGTGCGTTTTTTGGCGTTCCTTTCAGGATTGGGAGTCGGACGAGGTTGCAGGTTTGTTGGAGCTGTTGTACAGACAGGAGGTAGATGGTAGTGGCATTGACTCTTTGGTTTGGGTGCCTTCCTCTCAGGGGAGATTTGAGGTTCGTTCCTGAAGCTGCAATGAAAATGTTCTCTCAATTTGGAAAACTAATTGCTTACATTTCAAAATATCTCAACCCCTTTTCCCTCTTTTTTCCTTCTATTTATAGAGTTTTACAAATATTCTAGAAGTTTCTTCTTCTATCTCCCATGCTGGGCTGATCCCTTGGGCTTTTCTTTGGGTATGGATCCACTTCCTCTCCCTTGAGATTGGGCCTGGAGATCATCTTAAAGAGGATGGGGCCTGTTGGGTTGTCATCCGATCGGGTCAGCAGCTGTCTCCCGATCCAGTTCTCAGTTAGATGGGTCACACCCAGCCCATTTTATTTTTGGTATCTTCAGTTCCCTATTCCATTGTCTTTCTGATTTTCATGGTTCTATTTTCCCTTGGAAGACAGTATGGCGTTCCAAGGCTCCCCTCAGAGTGGCCTTCTTTGTCTAGACTGCTAATTGGGCAATATTTTGACCCTGGATAATTTGAGGAAGGAAGAGAGATTATAATCAATTGATGTTGTTTGTGGAAGAGGAGTGGCGAGTATGTGGATCACCTTCTTATTGCCCTATAGTTCGCAATTGTTGGAGCCTTGTCTTTGGCCTTTTCGGCGTCCATTGGGTTATGCCTCGGTCCTCGAGGGGTTTGATTGATGCTTGGTGAGGTTGTAGTGTGGGAGCCCATGTGCGTGAGTGTTGGAGGGTGCTTCCCCTTTGTGTTTGGTGGTGCTTATGGAAGGAGCAGAATTGAAGATTTTTTGAAGGGGAGGAATCTTCCTTGGGGGCTTTGAATTTTCATATTATTAGCTCTCTTTTTGGTTGGGTTTTGGGGAGAAATTGTATATCTATTGATAAGTTTCTTGATTTTTTGGGTTCGGTGGGTCCTTAGGACCTTGTCTCCGGCTTCGGCCTCTGTATAGCTCTTGGGCGCGTTCCCCGTTTGAACGCTTTCTAATACATTTTGCTTATCAAAAAAAAAAAAAAAAAAAAAAAATCGTCCTAAATCATATAAATGAATCATAAAAATAGGACTAGCAGTTAACAAATCAGACATGACTTACTGGCTTAAGTTTTCTTTCTTTTTATTTATTTATTTATAATTAAATAGTTTCATAGCACATCATTCTTTTATACCCTTGTTGCACCATTGCTAAACTGAAAAAATACTGATGGCTGCCAACACAGTTATGATAGAGATATTCAAAATATGTACTAAATACTGAAACTAGAGTTCGCACAACATGCTGCGAGACTAGTGATTTTCCTATAAACATAGGGTTGCACCAAGGGTCTGCACTTAGTCCATATTTTTTTTCCTTGGCACACTAAGTTCATATTTATTCACATTAATCCTAGATGAGATCACAAAAAAGTTACAAGAAAACATCCCTTGGTGCATGTTGTTTGCCGATGACATTGTATTTTAGACACTTCTAAAGAAAATTTAACAATTAAACTAGAAAGGTGGAGAAATGGGTTAGAATCAGGGGTCAAGTGTAAGTAAGACTAAAATTGAATATATGGAACACAAATTTTGTAAAGAGTTTGATATTAATGATGTTATGGTTACACTTCAAAATCAAAGGATTATTTAAAGTGAAACACTTTTGGTATTTAGGGTCATTAATACAAAAGGATGGTGAGATCGATGACGATATAACTAATAAGATAGGCTCGGGTTGGACAAAATGGAGGCAAGCTATTGGTGTTTTGTGTGACAAACGCATACCATTTCAACTTAAAGGAAAATTTTATAATACAATTATTATGCCAACCATTTTATATGGCGCAGAGTGTTGGGCGTTAAAAAAGAAGCATGAACAATGAATTCATGTAAGCGGAAATGAGGATGTTAAAATGAATGATTGGGATGACTAGAAAAGATAGGGCTTCAAACCAAATTATGAGGGA